CACAATGATGGCCTGAGGTTCGCAAAGCAATGCAGTCCATGTAGGTCGAGTACGTACGTCTTGAAGGTGCAGCCACGTGATTGCAGGCATCGTCTGGAGGCCCGCGAGATGGAAGTCCTCATTCTACTTCGGCTTTGTCCTGACTCGCCCTTCACGATGACTAGCCTGAGGTTTGCAAAGCAAGCCCGTCCATGGAGGTTGAGTACGTACATCTTGAAGACGCTTAGTTTTCTTTGTAGTTGGGCGCCACAAGAGTGGGAGAGCATGGAGGATGTTGCAAATTGTGTAGAAGACGAGGAGCGACGTAGTCATCACTGGGAAATTAGATCACTGTTAGTAATAAACAAGCGGTCGACGGGTTTGTTTCGCCATGAAGACGGCGCTTTTTCCTTTTCTCTACAACATCCGGTAGGAATATCCGCTCGCTTCGTCTTCTTCAACTTCTGCTTTGCTTACACAACATGTGGCGTGGCTATTTTACAGCAAAAGCTGTTATGAGATCACAACTCGGGTCACGCGCAGTGCCGTAGCTGTCTGCCGCCGCCACTGGAGTCCGTAACCACTATCGCATGAAATAAAAAAATCTAGTACCAAGGACACAGTAAGGCTCGAACCCGGGTCCCCCTGCATGTTAGCCCAGTATTCTCTCACTGAGCCACGCTGGTGATTGGAACTTGTTTGCAAACTTGCAGGCAGGCTTGATGTCGGGAAAGCAATCCCGTTATTCTGAGCAATAAAGCATTTTAGAACATCAGGACAACTAGGCATCACAGAATGCGAATAGCGTAATGAGTGGGTCGTGCAATGCTTCAACCTAGTATGAAGGCTTGTTCTTGATCTCCTATTAACTGTGGCGCATACCCACTTCAGGCATAATTCCTCATCGTCATCAGCTACTGAGTGAACAATTACCACAAAATTCCTGGAAAGTCTTAAGCGGATACCACGCTTCTCAGAATAATGACGAAGGATAGCATAGCGAATGCTGGCGTACTACCTAGAAATTATTATTATTAATGCCGTAGTGAGTACCCAGCAAGTGTGCTTGCAGCAATTGTCAATGAGTGTTTAAAAAAAGGCTCTAAAAAGCCACTGTTGTAGCTTTTGTTGCGACTGTGCTGTGACTTCCGTGCAGGCCTTGCTTTTTTTCCCCTTTGGTTGCGCCGGGTAGGGCGAACAAGATTTATTATCTAGTTAGCGCTTGCTTCGTCCTCTTCAACTTTAGCTTCGCTACACAACTGCGTGATGTGACTTTTTCAAGCTTCTCGTTGCACTGGGTAGAGCGTAAAGGTATTATCCAGTACGCACTCGCTTCCTCTACTTCAATTTTATTTTTTGCTTACACAGCACGTAACCTGGCTCTTTTCTTTCATTTTTTTTTTAGTGTTTAAGGTTCTCTTTGCTCAAGGTAGTGCGAGCCAGAATTAGCATCTGGTACGTGCTCGCTTCACCCTCTCATACTGCAGATTCGATTAGAGAACACATGGCATGGTTATTTTTTTCTTCCCTTTTCTTGAGCTTCTAAGCTTTTCATTGCGCGGGCTAGTGCGAGCAGGAATAGGTACAGGAACGAAATTTCTGTGGCACCAGAGCCAAATTTACGTAGGCGGTGCTTTTGCACGTCTGTGACTACAGCAAGTAGTGTGTTTGAGCACGATTTCGGTTTTGCTTTGGCAAAGTGCAACCAAAATTTGCGTTTGCATACAAATATCTGAGCTTTGTAATGTATAGTATAATGATATATATGTTATATACAGTCCTAGCTAGAAACGAGAAGTGCTGTTATACTTGTGATTGAAGTAGTGAAGGAAAAAATATCATGGATAATTGCTGAACTGCTCTCCTAGTCATATTACACAGCACTAATTTTCCATCGATTGAAGTCCAGGTAGAGAGTGAGCACCGAAGATAATTGGTTACACTTCAGTTTTCTTCGAAAGAAATATAATATTATGTATTGTAAAGGAACACGGATAGAGAACAACACTTTATTATTGCATAAGGCATAGCATTGCAGATGGTTGAGCCCCTATTTTCAAGGCCCTGCTGACCTTGCCAATGTTGACATTATCTCTGCCCGTTCCAGCTAAGGCTGATCCACGAAGGCCGACCTACTTGGACTGCCATGCCACCCATTTCTCATTTGCGTTGTTGATGTTGTGGCGTTCTTCCGTGCGTAGTGCACGCTCCAACGTGATGTGAAACAAAGAGAGAAACTCCTTATTAGAAAAATAGATTTTTCTGCACCGGGGACATATATCTCAGTATGCTGTAGGGTACGTAGAATACATGTAGCCTGTTTAAGTTGGTGTTAGCACGGACTGCTGGGCGAGTTGGTAATTCATCTTAACTGAGTTGCATGAAAAATTAAAGGACAAAAGACGTTTTACTTTTGTACTTCAATTTTTTCGTGCTACTCAGTTAAGCTGGTGTGTTGGTCTAGAGTCTGCTTAACGTTAGACATATTCCATTGATATGAGAGTGGAAGAATCGGCCGAACTAAAGCCATTGTTTTATTTTTGGTAGAGAAAATGGCGCGGCAATTGGAAATCGTACGCACATGACACAAAGCTTTTTCTCAGTTTCGGCACATATACAAGGTCAGCATCATCATTTTCCTACTTTTGGAGACGCCATTACTGTGTTAAAACACTCTCGTTACTTTTTTCGTCAGAAATACATAGGCATTGACTGGCTGCGTGAGCCTTGACCAAACTGTGGGAATAGAGCGTCTAACGTTTATACTTCCGAGCGGGTGAAAAGCACTCGTAACCAGAAATGGTCAAAATCTGCAGTAAAATCAGGCTGTCATACCCCACAATATACGTGAAAGTGTGTGTTTTCCAAGCGATGCTTTACACTGGTAATTTTATTGATGTAAATCACTCTTGTCAGAAGCGCCGAGAGCGGCTACTGCCGCAGACGCTCTTAACGCTTCACAACGAGGGCGATTTACGACAATAAAATTACTGATGTAAAGCTTCGCCGCAACAAAAGTAGACAATCGAAATACCCACCACATATGTAATACAATTTGTAAAATAGGCCAGGTCTTTTACGAACAGTTTGCAGTAGCAGTATTGCTTCTAAGCAGCTAGTCTTGCTAAAGGTCGCTGGCGTCACCATTGAGGTTGCTGTCGCGATCCACTTGTGCTGATTGTATCATGCGAAAAACTGGCACTTGTTTGCGGGAAACAAGAAATTTAACCAACTGCCTTCCTTTCTTTCTGTTCGATAATCTTCTATGACGAACACGCGTTGATATTTATGAACAAACTTAGACATGCAATTTCTGCAATAGAGCGACACCGTCCTTTCTTACAAGAGCAGGATAACGTGAAATCGGCACCAAAAAACTAGAAATAGCAAAAATGAAATTTGTTAATGGGATAAACTTTCTTACAAAGAAAACGATCTTGAATATGAACAGTTTTCTTTTATTTTGAGTGTTTTCCTTCAGGCTAAGTGTCTACAAATGTTAGCATTTGCGGACTACTGCAGAAGTGTAATAAAGAAGATAGTTGTTAGTTTTTTTTACACAGAATGTTGTAGAGAGGTATGAACTAGAAGATGCCTATATCGCAGTGAGGCGTCTATATAGGCTGCTGGTGGCATACTCTCGCATGCAAACGCAATCTTTTTTTCAAATGTTAAGGCATGCATCTCTGGTGCCAACTTAACATGAAAAGCGGCATCTCGAGAACTTTCAACTACGAGAAAGTGCTCGTCCATGCCACTCCCGCTTACAAAAAGTTTTACATCCAAAGATGGCATCTGTGCTTTTGGCTGCTAAAACAATCAGTGCAAGAAAAACATTTCGCTCAGCACTATCTCTGAAAAGATCAGAACATGACGTGGTAATCGTGCCAGTGCTGTGTTTTCAGACTGCACAGATCTCCATTCACATCGAAAAATGCTGAGCTCCGCCGCCAGTGGATCATTGCAATCAAGAGTGAAGACTACGAGCCCAGTAAAGATGTAGTAGTTATTACTGCATTCATTCTAGTGTGACGCCATCTATTTCGCTTCATAGCAGTGATTTGCATGCAGTATGCCTGTAAAAGCGACACCAAGCCATTGCCGTATTGTTTTGCGCGCCGCATGCCAATAATAGAATATGTTACGATTCACACCTGCATGCACCCATTGCGCACATTTAGTACAATTGCAACTATCGCGAAACAAAGGAATGTGAGCAGCAGAAATCGTGGCTTTTGACTCAGTCGAACTGCAAAGTGGCTCACTAGGCGGATCTGTGCTTTCAGTCGGCGTCACTGTAGCACTACAAAATCTTGTTTTGGGTGGCACAGTTGCACCGCATGTGTGTCTGAATGCCACTAGATGACTAGCGAATGACAAAAAACCGTAGCGAGGATTCTAGCGCTAAAGTGAAGCCAGTTTACAGCACGAGTCTTGCCTTGCCATGGCCAGTTGGCATGCTGCCGTTTGAGTCGAATTTCGCAGTTTGCGTTTTTTCCATCGCCATAGGACGTGTCTGATGAAGTTGCTTCCGCGATCTGCAATGCACGTGCTGTAGACATTCCGGCCTGTCGAAGATCTCGACGGTTCACACGAAAACAGAACAAAGAAAGGCAAAGTGCGAATTATGCTTACAGCCGGCCTTGAAGTGGCAAGTTTTATGTTTTATTTGTGGAGCGTCTGCTTGTCTGGCGATTCAGGGTGTTGCTTAGCTACCCTTGCATCAGATTATGCGCGACACGCATTCTAAATAAGGCAGCATGAAGAGGAGGAAGACACCACCGCTGTCATACAGTGTTCGACCAGCGGAGCGGGGCGTTAGTGCCCAGCCAATTGTCTTAGGACACTATGAATAGTCTTGTTTTTTATTCACATATTTGTGACGTTTAGTGGATGCGTATTCTGCATTTGCAGCACTTTTGAGTGAAACACACCCATCAATCTGCAAGTCAAAGATATTTTCCTGCAATGCTGTTTCACTTTGCACTCCTTCCGGTAAGAAGGTTAATACGCAGCCTTACCGTCGCCATGCTGTCTGAATGATGAGTGCCGCACCTCCCACATTTTCAATGATGTCCAGACAACGAGATCCTGCAAAATTATATTTCAGCGTTCATAAAGCGGCCGTCACCCAACATGAGATGAGCGCACTGTGACAGCTTGGATCCACATAGTGTAGGTAATATGCAATATTATATGTTTTTATAGATAGCATGAGTAGCTTTATAATGTGGTAGCAGGGCTGGGTGGTATAGGAAATGCATGTGTCTTATATACTTTTGAGGTATCTTGTATCCGTATCACGACATATCCCGCAAGTTGACTATCTGTATCTGTATTGCAACTCTCTGTATCTGTATCATTTTCTATTGCTAAATACCTGGTTCCTGAGGGTCTAACAAAAATTATTTTTTAATTGTCCCAAAAGTATACTCGTTCCCAGTTGCGTAGGAAAACTGGTCTGTTACAGATTAGGCAATCAGATCGCCATGACATATAAAAACCACGCTCCTCTAGGAATGTTCTTACAGAAGGTGTCACGGTGTGTAATTTAAAAAAAAAGAACGAGCGTTTTTTCATTTGTAGCTGCCTGCATTTTTTTTACCTCATTTAGGTACATTCTGACCCTTGCGTGCTGTATATAGCACCCTGTACAGTGAGATGGGGAGCACAGTGTCACATAAATATTCATACAGTTTTTTCTTTCCAACAAACCACAGGTAGTCAGTCGAAAAATGGACACATAGAAACTGCACGCTGGCCACAACTTTCTTTATGTAGCCTTGCACAACCCCTGTCACTGAGATACACGGGTGCTTGTGCTTAGAACTTTGTCGCAAACTGGTCCTAGGCAGGCTTATTGTCTGGAAAGAATCGCATTATTGTGTGTGATAAACACTTTTGCACAGCAAAGGGAAAGCGAGGTGCCACACAATGCGAATTGCGTACTGCAATTCCTCATTACAATAGCGCTAGGCATAATTATTCATTGTCGTCAGCCACAGCATCAACGCATTGCAAAATACTCCTTGAAAGTGTGTAGTGGCTACCATGCTTCTTCGAAGAATGATGAATGATGGCATAATGAATGCCTGCCTACTACACAAAGTTATAACGATTTATGGTGTAGTGGGTAGGTGGCATATGTGCTTGTGGCAGTTACCCAAATGATATTTAAAAAAGGTCCTAACAGGTCGCTCTTCCAGCTTTCGTTGTGACTGTGCTGCGCTTTCCATGCAGGCCTGGCATTTTCTTTTTTTTTTTCATCTTGAGTGATTGCGTCCAAGCCAGAAAAAAGCTTATCACTGGGCGGCGTAAGCTGTGCCACCAATATATAGTAAACTTGTGACTACATGTCTCTGATGGTTCTATTAAAGTTACGCAGAAATGCTGCCGTGGTGGCTGTAGTTCGATGGAAGGAAAATGCTAGAGGCATGTGTACTTTGATTTCATTGCAGGTACGATCCCCTCACGGTGAAAATTTCCGGAGCCTCTGTTTTTACACTTTTCATAACCAAGGTGACTGCCGTTTCCTTCATGGTCACCACCTCGTGACAATACAATAGATCAGAGGCGTTTCTTTTGAGCTCATGTTCTTTCATTGAAAAAAAAAAATTGATTTTAGCCTCAGATAATTCACACCAGCAGATAAGAAAAGTATGAAAAGGAATTGCAGTTTTGTGTGCTCTACGTACACATTGTGCCACAAAGAATTCACTGCACCGTTGTTTCTACTGTACGCCGGTTATTTGGTTTTACGAAACGCTTTTTTATGGACAAGGGAACACTGCACTGTGCACAACGGTATTCACACAATCGTGCGAAGGCTTTTTATTGAAGCTCATGTGGTTAAGTGGCAACCCTCTAGCTGGTCGGCACGCTTAGCAGCGACTCCATCAATTACAGAAATGACAAACAAGAACTGCTGTGAGTAAATTGTGTAAGAGCTGTCCTGTTGAGCAGTTGAAACAAACGGCAATAGCGGCAAATGCCAATAACGGCAATAAGGGCAAGGAAGCAATAGCTATTCGGCTAGTATTCTTGGGCACAAGTTTCTGTGGCAATGTTAAGAAGGCTACAGAACCAAAGCGGGCGAGTGCCATCGCTGAAGAATATAGTCCCACAAATGCCTCATCTTCTGCACGCGAAAATCACAAAAAAACATTATACTTCATTTTATACACGATGCTGTTTCTAAAGAGATGCTGAACGAACCAACAAGATATAATTATTTGTTTTGCTTTATAAAGTGTAGTTTCGCGATTTGAACGTCTCAAAAAGTCGCAAGGTTTAAGTGCACCTCATAGTCAAATTGGCATCTTCACCTTTAGATGAGAGCCAGTCGCTGTCCAGCTATTCCGACGACACGCCGAAGAAGCTTGTGTTGATTTTCACTCACAAATGGCTAGGCGAGCAGATGTAGCAAGCTTTATGCTGTGCGATTATTTGAACACGGCCGTCATTCAAAAAGCGAGCCTAGCTGGATTGCTTCTCAGAAGAGTACATGGGCAGTATTCTTCTTCACATGTACTCTTCTGTGAAGTAGTCTCTTCTACGAAGTAGAGTTTGAAAATTAGATTTTGGTTATCGCAAATTGTATTTCACGTTTGACACAACGATCAAGCAAGCTTGAGTGAATTAGCAGTTTAACAGGTAAACATGCCAGCCTGCAGTGAGTCGGGCAGTCAAAGTGACTAGGCCTCCGAGAAAAACCCAACCGGTGGCACTTCTTCAAAACCCCAAATGACCCTGCAGTTCTCAAGACCTAGACAGTTGCTATTCCAATGAAAAGCCTTCCAGGTGTGACAGTCAAGATCTACATCCACGATCTACACTTCGAATCAGAGAACGTAATCAATTGCTACGAGGACATCGTAGGCAGAAACGTTGTGAATCTTCCAAGTGGTAGGCGGACACTTAAGCTCGGTGATTTTCCTGGAATTTTCTGCACACTTGCCTAAACCAGCAGCATTAAAATGCAAAAGCAAACCCCCAAAACTTTGGGTGCACGTTAAAGAACCCCAGGTGGTCTAAATTTCCGGAGCCCTCCACTACGGCGTCTCTTCATAATCATATAGTGGTTTTGGGACATTAAACCCCACATATCAAACCCCCAAAACTTTGAGAGACTGTGAATTTCGAGGGTCGTGTGTCGGCAAGTGATGGCGATGTGCCTGACGTTAACCTGGAGAGCAGCAATGTTGACAAAGCTTTAAGAGAGATTGAGGTAGCCCAGCTCCTTGCAGAGCACGCTGCAATGCTGACAGCAGCAACAGCAGCATGGTGAACGGTACAAGGGAGCAGACGACGCTGATCACTACAAGTCATAACTACTGTCCGTAGTGCATAGTGTGGCAGATGTCACGAGGGCGTCTTTGTCATCTATAATGACTAAACACATGGCTGGATTCTTTGGGTAGCATGCTGCATCAGTATAGACGGCTTGTAAATATGCGATACCATCACCAACGACGTGTGTCATAGCTTGAACTAGGGCACGTCGATGACCTGGGCAGCGGTGGGGATTCATGTTGCATGAAGTCGGAGCCACTTTGATGAGAGCATGAAGAGTAGAGGCAAGTTTATGTTGCGGTACTTCTGTGGATTTCGCAGGAATGGGGTGGCCAAGACGAGACAGAACAGCGCAGCCCTGAAAATTCTGCCTGAGCCGTTAGGGCTGACTATTGCACTGGGCCTTGAGCAGTTCTGTTATGGTGTTGTGGACACCGAGTTTAAGGAGGCATTTTCGTAGATGCGTGTAGAGGCAGGCCGAGAGGTGCCTTCACAGCTGTTCGTAGAAGGATGTCAATCTTTTTTGGTTTGAGCTGATGTGAGATTATGATATGAAAGGTGATAGGTGAGCTGACTAACTATGAGTGCTTGTACTAAGCGGAGTATATCCTTCTTGCAGAGACCTCTCCTGTGATTCGTGATGCCATGGATCATGTGTATAATATGAGTTATCTGTTGAATCAGAAGGTTTGTAGTATGTGAGGCTTTGCCATCAGAGTGAAAGTAGAAGCCTAAAATATGAAGTCGAGCTACCTGAGGGATAGGAGGGCCATCAAGGCACAGTTAAATGTCAGGGCAATCATCAGTTTTGAGGACGCCGCTTGTACATTAGTAATAACTCTGGCTTCTCACTGAAGACGTAAGGCTGCTGGCTGCAGCGTAGTCTTGTACAATGAATGCAGCTTCCTGGAAAGTGTCCTGAATCATTGCGTCTGATCCTTTGGTTGCCCAAATTGTAATATCATCTGCATAGATGGCATGCTGGTTGGGAATCTGTTGAAATAGCTTCTTGGAAAGCCATGAAAAAATACGCGAGTTAGTAAACCGGAGAGCCCTTCCGACTAGACAGTGTCACCGCAACAGAAACTACTAAATTAAGGTGCGTTTTTTCGGGACGTACATCTGCGGCGGATCTGCAGTGAAATATTTTTTATTACGTTTATTTTTTAGATCAGTATATAGCAGCATATGATGCGGCTGCCTCATTTCAAGACATTGGGGAGATGCTGACTTGCGTTGTCTCACCGCTCTAGCGCTGAACTTTCCTACCTCTAATAATAAAGAGAACAAGAAAAAAAAAAAAGCGAAGAAAAGCGCAGCCGCGATTCTTTCGGCGAAGAAACGCATTCTGCCTCAGCCGCTGCATTGCAAAGCTCCTCCGTTCGCCCCTCTAGGATATTGGTTCTAGTTCACTATAATTGCAAGTATTTCACTTCATATCACTATCTTTGCTTGTTACAACAGTTTAAATTGTAAAAAAAATATCTCTACAGAACTAGACACTGTGGTGCTGCGAGCGCACGTGACCTCCATGCAGCTTGTGTTTCTGTACGTGCTGCTAAAAGGCATTACAGCAAAAGGCATTACGCAACGCTGCATGCCATCATGTCCGCAGGACCCCAAGCGCTTGTGTATCAAGGGATAAAACTCTCTATTAGCTGAACCGAACGACATTTCAGTGTAGCGCTAGGATTACTCACAATATATAATTGGACCGAATATTTACTTGAACTCTGTCAATAGCGTTCAGTTCCGATAAGAAAGATGGCAAGTGTGACGCTTGACCATGGTACTGCCTGCTAAGAGTTCCAATAAGTATTAATCCGTAGAGGCAAACGACATACGCATTGCACATCCACAGGACACTTTTTGACCTCACACATATTGACGAAAATTGTACGCTGCAAGAACCAGTGCTACATAGGTGACACGGTGGTATTGTTTCAACAGCTGAAAGTCATTTAGCTCTAGTGGTAAGTTGAACATTGCAGAAAAAGCTTGATTGCAAGAGCAGCTGACCACTGGAACACAATTGTTCTCCGGAATGCAGACCAAGCAGCAGCTCGTTACGTCATGGTTAGTAAGCGAGCCAGTGTTGCCCGACTCTCAGGCCGCTTGCTCATTTATAAAAATATGCGATTAGAAACTAACGACACGAGATAATGCGCTAAAGGTATGCCAGATTCTCTGTGAACGTACAAAGACCAACCCACACAACAGAGATTATGATCGAAAATTAGGTGTCATGACCCCTTTAAGTGCTGCAGAGCGAGAAGCTGACGATCGGGGAAAACTGAGGTCAGACAGGAAAGATGCTGAACTTGCAGGTTGCAACTCAGTTAAATAGAAATGATACTTTAACCAAGTGACAACTGACCACGCATGTGCCGGAACTAATGTGCTTCTAGAGGAATGAGCTGAACAAAAGGAAAAAAAAAAGCCAAGGAACAATAACATTCTATGTTAATATTTGTTACGTCTAGGCTATGGATGTTTCGTTTCTTTTGGTGATGCGGTGCTTAGAGTGAGACATATTTCGTGTAACAAAACAAACTAACAGAATGGGTTACAAAGATAGCACCCAAGTCTATTAACTCGCCCAAGTAATACCTCTGTCACATGGCCACCACCGAACTTCATTTTCCTTCGGTTCAGCATTCAACTCCCAAATGGAGCTTTTTGAGAATAGAGATGCGGTGGTACTGCACGGCTCAGTGCAAGCTTTCGATGGCAGCTGCATGGGGCCAAGACAGCATTGCAGGGCATGCCAAAACATCCCATTTTTCATATATGTAGCCACCTTTGAATCATCGTAGACATGTTTTGTTTTGTGTGTGACATATATTCTAGTAAAAATAAAGTGGCAAGTATGCGATATGTTATTGCAAAACTTGTGTTCTCCTATGCAAAAATGCCAGTAGAGACATGTATCGGTCCTATAGAGAAATCTTATTGGTTTTATATGAGCTGTATTCATACTTCATTGGTCTTATTAGAAATCTATTGGCACCAATAAAACCCAATTGACCACACCTATTTGTTACCGATAAGACCAATAATGTGCCTATATGTTGTAGTGATTTGTCACCTATCGAACCAATAGACACGTATTGGTGTCATTAGAGATCAATAGGAGTCAGCTATTTGTCCCCTATTGGACCAATAAGTATGTATTGGTACCTATAGGTGACAGCTATTGTTGCGTATTGGTGCCCATAGGCTGTAATAGGTGAGACGCATTTGTCACTTATGGAACCAATAAACAGCAGCTATTTGTCATTTATAAAACTAGCTGGTGTGAATTTCTACTAGAATCAAGTAATCTTTAGGTTATATGTGTGGTATTAAGAGGACATTCATATATGTATTTCACTTATTGGCAAATTAAATCAAAAGGGAGTTTTTGATTTGTTCAATGTATGAGCAAAGTGGCAGATATATGTGTATTCCAAAATATTGCACCCATATTTTTTATAAATATCACCAAAATAATTGGACACACAGTCAATATTAGTAATTTCATTCTGCATTCAAGATTATGTTTGTAGGCTATATAAGCCCACAAAGTAAGTGTTCACAGAAGGGAAACTTATCATAGAGTTAAAAAAAAGAACGTCACTGCAGGTGGTGTTTTTTTTAGACTTCTGCTAGGCCCGGTTCATTCCGTTAATTAAAACGGCCAGCGTCACTCATGCACTCGCGAAATGCACCGCGCATAGTACCAAACTCTTACGGAGAAGCCACAACTACAAAAGAAAAATTTTTAGCCAAGAAATGTACCGCGGATAGCACCAAACTCTTACGGAAAAGCCATAACTACAGGAGAAAAATTTTCAGCCAAAAAATGCACCGCGGATAGCACCAAATTCTTACGGAGAAGCCACAACTACAGGAGCAAAATTTTCAGCCAAGAAATGCACCGCGAATAGCACCAAACTCTTACGGAGAAGCCGCAACTACAGGAGAAAAAAATTTTCAGCCAAGAAATGCACCGCGGATAGGCACCAAACTTTTACAAAGAAGCCACAACTACAAGAGGAAATTTTTCAACTAAATTTAGCGGCAGTTTGGCAACAACCATCCTTTCAGGCTGGCAACCACTTATGCAATGCCAAAAGGAACCTTGCCTGGTTGGGCTCGGTGTTTGTATATATTTAAAAGTATTTCAAGTTAAACTGGCATATATAGAATCACAACGATGATGCTAGGTTAGTCATGAACGTCAAAGGAGTTACAGTGCTAAAAACAGTGTCTCGGACTTAAACAGCAATGAATGGTGCCGGTGCCGACACGATGCCCACCAAGGTGATTTCTTTCGAGCGCATACACTGCGGCTGTTAGGTGAGAGAACTAGTTTTATATATTTGTTAGTCAGTTGAAGTTGCTTTTCTTGTGCTTCTAATTCATTTATTTGCCAGCCATCAAAATGCGTCCCCATTAAAAGTGTTTGGCCGCTTTGTTTATTCAGTAGTTTTTCCACTCTACAGTACAACACTTTTGAACATTGTGTGGGCTGTTAGCATATACATACACTGGCATAAATGCACGTTATTGGCTAGCGCATTGTTTTTGTGGTGATTCAAAAAGACTAAAATATGTAATGTCTCCATTCAATCATAATAGTAAACTTCGGGGATAGGAAAGAAGCTAAGCTTATTGCCAACAAAAATACTGTGCGGCTCTCCCATCATTAATTCGCATTCGTGCTCACTGAACCCCATTCTGTAGCATACATGGTTGCAATAGAGAAGCGCTTATTCAGTGAAGCTTTTTGTGTGACTCCCAAAGCTCAGGCGCTGGGATTGGTTTGGTGTTAGTGCCATTTCGCCTTGCCCACAAGTGTCCAAGGTCCACCTAAGTGACTGAGGTTTTGTTTTTGGAACACAAGCATAATCAAATCCACAGCACAGAAGTGACAAAATATTCGTTCCTACTGTGTGAAGCTCTTACCTACTGCGAGCTCACCGGGACTTCCCTCATGCTGGTTCTACATTTTATTTAATGCATCACTCTTTTGAGTAGCACTTATAAAATATTTTCTTCCTTCTTCCTGGTATTATATGTTTTTATTTTCAGACACTACCCGGAGATGTAATGCAGTGGCACACATTCGACAAGGAAGAACAGCAAGCTTGGAAAGCTTGTTTCGGGGAAGATTGCCCATTTGATGAAATTATCTTCTATTATACATAAATATAATACAGGCCTCACTTGGGATGAATCTGTTTAGTTTTATAGTTCTATTCAATACTTCGAGCTTGTTCTGTGTTGTGTATTTATGCCCCACTCCTGCCTAATGCCTCCATATGAGGCCGGCAGTATGTAATAAATAAATAAATAAATAAATAAATAAATAAATAAATAGAGGTGCTGCAACGTTGCAGCCCTGAAACGTCCTATATTTTTATTTCAAAGCTAAGAGTTCTCAACTTAGGAATAGGCCGCGATAGATTTTCAATTTCACAAACGCAGCACTAATAGACAAATATAATGCTAATAGACATATACAGGACTAATACGCCAATAGACCAATACTCAATAGGCTAATAGAACGCCAGTAGACAAATACACCAATAGACAAATGGAGGTCTAATAGGCCACAATGCCACCTATAGACACATAGGATACCAATAGACCATTATGTTCAATAATCCAATAGGCTAGTGTTTTTCTATAGGTGAATTTTGCTAGCATGGATAAGTTGAAAGCAATGCCATTACACGGGCTCTACCAACCAGCTGTCCTACGAACGTTGCCGATTTTCTCCTGCGCAACGTCATTTTCCATCATGGCACCTCACGCTAACTCTTCAGAGATTGCGGGTGCTTTTTCCTTTCCTGAGTTATTGACGACCTGCTTTTCTTCTGCGAGAGAAAACGAATTTACAGTGGTCTACCACCCACAAAATAATGACTGACTGAACAATTCTACGGAACTTTAACTGACATGCTCTCTAAGTACTTATCGTCCGACTACCGAGACTGGGGCGTAGAGCTTCCCTTCCTTGCATTTGTTTCTAATTCCTCACGCCACGATACAGCTGGTTTTTCAACTTTCTATCTCGCGTTTGGCCGTGATCTAACTTCACCTTGTGACACCATCTTTCCGACAGCCGTCGATTCGACGGCCGAATACGCCAGCGATGCCATCACCAGAGAGCTCGCAAAGCACAAAAAGCTGCTCGTCAGTGCCTTTTAGCACGGTAATATCACCAGCGGCAGCGTTAGAAGTCACATCATCGCCATGTTTCCTTTACTCTGGGTTCCCTTGTGGACTCCAACTAGACGTGTTGAACTTTCTGAAAACCGATTTCTCGATCTCGCCTAAAGCTTTACCATTCAGCAGCATCATAAAAAGCACCGAGACGGTTCTTCAGCATCCGGGGTTTATGTTATAAACAATGTCACACTAAAGCAGTAAGAGAAGCATCGAGAAAGATGATGTTATTTTAGTGTGTGGGGCGTGCTCTTGTTCTCCATCTTGGTTTACGCTTCGGCGCTGTGTAAATAAATCTTAAAACACCTAGTTTTTTTTGTGTGTCTTCCCACAGCAATATGAACACAACGACTACTATGGTAAGGAGCTAAAGTGTCAAGCAACGCATTAAAACAAACATGCCTGGCGACGCGGGGTTGTCCGCTTCCACGATTGCCAGTTGCCTCAGTTTCCTCCGTTTCCGAAACCATCTCTGCAAGAGAGACAATGACAATCTTCACTGTCACGGCATTTCTAAGTGACGACTAGCAGGTTAATTTTCCCTGCAAGTAGGTGAAAAAATCAATACGATCAATGCGCAGCCATGGAATTTTTAAATGTATGCACCATGAAGTTTACATATAAGCTGATCGACATACGAATAGAAATCTAATGCCAACCATGCATTTTTGTTGCTCAGAGAATTCACCAGTCACAAGAACTAAAGAGAGATGCGGCACACAGAAAGATGCTTTGCTATCTTTTTGGCTCGTTTATTCTTTCAGCCCTGCGTACAAACTGACTACAACATCACTGCTATGCATTTCAGTCATGTTGGCTGCCAGTCGTGTAGCGTCCCTTTACACATAAGAAATTTACACTCAGCCAATTAATTAGGGAGCCAGATTTCTGATTACAAATGTAGTACAGTTTGTGAAATTATCATGCGTTACTGTATTGAGAATATGCTTTACATTGAAGCTTTTCTTGGCACTGGGCATTCTACATCGCCATATTACCAGCACAATTGTTTATTTACATTTGAATTGATAAAAAACGTGCAAGCAATTAAGTGAGTATTAAAATATCGAAGCACACATCATGCACAGCATTGGCCTCAAAAAGAATGTAAATAGCTTCACTTGATGCATACCATAATAACTGCATCACATTTGTCAATTTTCGTTAACACTGCTTTGTACAATATAAAATAGTACATACCAATGAGAGAGTTAATGAAAAAAAAAAAGAGTTGTGCTTTTAATATTAAAGAAAATTGTTAGACATAGGTGATATAAAAAGAATTATCATTGCACCACATCGTCTCGCCCTTGAATGGGTCGCAATGAATTTATAGGAATAATATCGTAAATCAATTTATTGAGTGAGCAGAACAAGCGGGTGGTAGCTCGAAGAGTATGCACGCAGAACCGAATGATGGTGCTCGAACGTCGGTTTCCCCCCTTCGTCTCGTGGCGATGAGAGCTGAGCCTGTGATATCAACGTCTTCATTTATTCATTATATTTAACCAGTCCCCTCTACAAAGGTGAAGCCATCCTGGCGACCTAACAGGTGGGAACAAGTGGGTTGAAGTACGACTTAAGGCGTTCTACGTGAATGATATTTGCTACGTGATGTGACTGAGGAGAGGGGCACAGGCATTCACCCAGGCGCCGTGTGAGGAAGAACCCTTGCGAGGCTTTGTTCACACAAAGAACACATGGTTTATTTACATACACGGATCCAGCATACTAGACGTCGATACGGGCCTTTACACGACCTGCCGTAAATAAGTCCAGAAAGAGAGAGCACCCAACGCACACGTGACGCTCCTCTTATATCCTCCCTTTGTGCACGCGCATCTTGACTGACGCCGACTGCACATCTCTGTGAGCCAATGCGTGTTCCATGTTGCGCACACAGACACCTCTCGCATTTTTCCAGGACGTGGACCGCGTTAGGAGGGCTTGCCGATGACCGTCTCTTGCAGGGCGGATTCTCGCATTGCCAGTTATAACAGCCCATCTGCCACCCGAAAAGGTCATGTAAGGGCTGCAGTGTCACTGCTCCCTGAAGTGGTTGTTGTACGTCTTTTTGGGCGTCACACTCGCTGTCCACAAATGGCAGCGAATCTGCAGTGTCTATAGCATTGTTTATAAAGCATTGTTCCATCATATGCATTCTCAAAGCCCTCTGTGTTACATTATATCTAGATCCTAACTTACTCAAAGCAGAAGGAATCATTTGCCTTCAAACTGCTGTGCTGCGGACAAGGCAGCCAGTGCGGCATTCCGAACATTATGGATCCACATATTCGTCTTGTCACAGGCAAAAACACTTCTTCGACGATCGTCTGAAGTCGTAAAGACTTCCAGAGATGAAACTGTCGAGCACTAATCAAAATACCTAAATTATGCATACCATGACTCTTCGTTCCTCATGACGTACAACACAACAGCACCGCTCTTCCTGTATATCCATTGCATGGTAGCTTACCCTCACCAGATATGCTGTACTAAACTTCTTGTCACTGTGTTAAAAATTTTCCTGCCTGTGCGCTTATTTAATTGCAAATTGTGGAACCAGTGCTTAATAAATCATTGTTAGTCTATTTTATGTTTATGTCTGATTATACTTCATTGTTTTGTTTAGTATTTGAGTGTAAGAAAGCTTTACACTTCATTTACGCTTTACCCAGAGATTACCTTTCTGTGCAGCTCTTCCACACTCCTGCTATTCTAAAAGTATTTAGTCTCTATAAATTACGCCTATTTCTCCGATATAAACACGAAATAAAACAACATATTTTGATGCTTAACGAAATGACAGAAATTGCCAAATATGTTCCTATGTAGCCTTTGAGGCTGACGGAAAAATTTAAGGTCAAGTCCTCTTGCACAAATTACGGTGCCCAAATGTTAAGAATTACTTTACCCTCTGTTTTAAATGTTTTAGGACGAAGTGATGTTGACATTGATGTATGCTGTAGGTCTGAACTTTTTGCGTTTTTCTAATGAATCCTATATCTGGTCTTTCAATTGTCGAGTGGCCTTCATGAAGTATTCAGAGTGCTTATCTTGTTTCAGATGCTGATGACTCTCTGCATTCATTGAATGTTTTCCATTACTTTTTATTCTGCAAAATATGTGTACTTTGACTGTGTGACGCCGAACTGTAACCGGCTGGGAAGCCTAGACAAGCTCTGTCCAGCTTTTTTTTTCCCATGCCTTCTGCTTCGTGAAATAGTAAATAAATGAAATGAAAGATTAGATACGCAACTACAGTGACGATTGCCGGCCATTCAGGCATAGCATGAGAGAGCAAGTGGGAGAGAGTGGTAGATGCTTATGGTAAAACGGTTTGTGGTGGTGTGCGACGCACGATAGCGCTGGAGTTTACAGCATTATAGGATATTGGCAGTCTCGGCCATGGTAGCAACAGGCTCGGCACTGCGTTATTTTTTGTTGTTGTTGTTCGAAATTAATGCACCTGTCAAGCAGGAATGCCCGCTGTGAGATAATTCGGCAATATTACAGCCTAACATCAATTGGCACCACTTTCCCTGGGTGTTGTCACCACGATCAATGTAAAAATGCAGGCAATAGCCAAATGCAGATGAATTTACTACAGCTAAAACAGCGTGCATTTGATTGCAATGTGTTTGCACACTTGTATATTCCGCAATAATATTATTTTAATTGAGTCAGTAATGTTAAAACAATGCACAGAGAATGAGGAAAAAAAGAGTTAATAGTTTTGCAAACCATGAGACACTCATTTCTTTATCGCCTTATCTGTCTTACTAGGCTGGTGGTCTGTACAGTTCTGTGTTTATATACTAAAATAACAAAAAAATGGGCTAAAGCCCATTTGTTGAAGTGGAACAATTATACGTCGAGTTCTACGTTTTTCGTCTTTCACCATGAAGAAGCGTACAACCAGAACATATTCTACTTCTAGTTGGAACATAACTGTGACCAACAGCTTCCAGTTCAACTGGTGATGGTCCCCATTCACAGCCA